GTTTGTAATTAAACGCACCCTTAGAGATGGGCCATAAGAAAAATACATTCTTGGTTAACATTCATTTTTGTATTTAAAAAAACTTGTAATTATCCATATATTTTCTTCTGTAGTGATTCAGACAATAGCAAATTGTCGTGACAAGAAGAGTTGAAAAGATAATTATCAAGGGCCATTACACGCTCACATTATTTGTGACTTGTTCCCTATCATCAGACAAACTAAACATCAGACCCCTCAGCCAACTAATTGACAACAATTACTCATGGCTTAGAGGGGTCCAACAATTTTATTTTCTTTAATTATTTACCTAAATTTTAAAAATAAAAAAATACCGTGCCATCTAGAGAGCGAGGCTCGGAATAGCTCGTCTTTCTGGCCACTACATGGCGTCCATGTCTAGAGATGCTTCCAAATAAGAGTTGAACCGTCGGATTTACCTAATTTGTAAAAAAAGGTTGAACCCCAACCTTAAAGGCCCCCATCGTCCCGCCCCTAGAGTATCAAGAGGGAGGTAAATTGTGGGATGTGCCCCAACAGGCTAGGGAACAAGAGTTTGCCTGTACACTGGTGTCCACAAAAAGTCCAATCCATATCTCAGGAATCGAACCCTCATACTGCGGCTACCAGCAAGGTTGAGACTATCTCACTTTTATCCTTTGCACCATTGGATTATGGGGTTACCTAATTTGTACATCTAAGCGAAACCTATTGAGCTTATATCTTATATTCATTTTCTTGGATAGTTTAGTCTTACTTCAGAAATAAGTATTTATAAACTTCATGAACAAGTCAACAGGTTTCTTCTCCTGAATCATTAGTCATTATGGACTGCATATGGGACACAATATTGTTTATAAACCTATAATTAAAAATCATCTACAGATGGCTAAAAAGATTAAAAAATCCATTTTTTGACTCATAATTCATCTCATCGAAAGCTCAAGCTGACAAAATAAGAATGTTATTAGGCACATGGCCTAGGACAGGATGTTTATTATAATCTTGTTGACTTGACTGAGTATATTGACTAAAATTGATATTTGTGTTGATTGACTTATAGAGAGGGGTTTTCTTGATTAGATATTTATTCAATTTTGATGGAAAAATATTTGAAAAGCCATAAAAAGTTATATACAGATATTGTGTCTAGGGAAATGCATTAAAATTACCCATGAATAGAACTTTTCCATACTATATGGAAAAATAGGTAAATCAAAGGTTTTGTCTAAAGAAATTGCATGAAAAAACTGATGATAAATATGTTATACATGCTTATTCAGAAGTTGAAACTTGACAAAATATTGCTAGTTGGGTAGATATCTACTAAGCCCCCGTTTGGCCCCCCATTTTTTCAAATTAAAATGGGTAGAATAGTATTTATTTATTTATTTTGGAAGAATGAATGGTTAAAAAAGAATGATTTTTTTTTATCTACGTGTAATATTATTTTATGGAAGATTGTGTGATTGAGAATATGAGAGAGAAAAATGAAATTTAATTTAATAGTGACCAAATAGGGGCTAAATTTAGGATAATTATATCAATTGTAGGAAAAAATTCCAAGTTTAAGTTAACTGATATGAAGAAATGCGATTTTGAACGTTACTGGAGCTAATTCAGAGCAAGCAAAAATCAACTGGATTACACTTGATCAACAAGAACTAAGAGAGCAATAAGAGTAAATTCATAAGTTCTGGGAGCTAAATCCTACATTTGAGAAGTTCGAGAATTAATTGTAAACTTTCGGGACTTGAAAATGGTCAATTTCAAATGATTGTGGACAAGGAGAATCAAAGTGCAAATATTTAAAAATGAAGGATCTGTGGTGCAAATAAAGGACAAACTAAACTAGTGAGAAAATTCGGGAACCTACATAGAGGATGAAAATAGGGAACCTTGCATTCACAAGGCTCCTATAATGTGATCGCAAGGGGGTATAATGTTCACTAGCAAGAAATATATCAACAAGGCTCCTATAATGTGACCGCACACTTGCATTAACACCTGAGCTTTGCTACCGCTTTTTATAACAACTACGACTACCACGAACTTGAATCATAGTGAATTTCCTTTTTCTGAATTGTTGATTCGAGTCCAACTCATGCCAAGGTCTTGGTCATCTCGATGTCTTGATGCCTCTATTTTCTTGTTAGACATCACAACACTTACTACCATGCAATCGTAATGTAGTTCCCGACATACATATTCAAGGGGGGAAGTTGAGGAGAAGCTTTTAGATACATATTCTTTATATGCTTTAGAGAAGCTTTTAATAAAAAAGGCATATTGTTACATAAAATTTATGCAATTACTTAGAGTTTGAAGGAGATTGATCAAGGAGTATTAGAGATTCAAGATTTTAAAATTGTTTTTTATCGTCTTTCCACATGTTAATTTTGAGCGATGTTGTATCGATACAATTGATGTCATACGATGCTCAGATAATTATATAGACACTACGATAACAACAAATCGTATATTATGAAATATTGATATTAATTTTCAATTTTTAAACTAAAATTTGTTTGATTTAAATGATTGTTAGGGCCTTTAACAATTTTCAACTAATTGTCCAGTAGTTGAATAGATTTGTGATTTCTATTTATATTATAGAGAAGGAATACAAACTATATTATATTTGTTCGCATGATCTTATGAATATTCTTGTGATTTAATGAATCTTCATGTTTTCACATCCTTTTTATAGATACGATAGAGTCATACGTGAGGATGCGTTTAATTCTATTCAAGAGTTATTATTAATAAGGTAGGAACTTTGATCTTCAAATTTAATTATGTATCAAATAATAAAATTGATATTACAATCGATGAATATGGGGTAATTCAAGATTCTAGTGTTCCATTACTTAAGTATTTATAACCGCTTTTTAATTAGCTTGTTAATTTGATAATTAAATTAGTTATAGGTGTAATTAACAAATATAAATCGTTCATTTTATTTTGTTATTTGATTAAAGTTAGTATTAATTGAAAATCTAATTAGGAATGACAAAAAAATTCGCTCAATTCTATATCCACGGGGCCCCGCCTTAATGGGATGGGAATTACCTAGCCTAACCGAGTAAACAGGGCAGGGTTATTGCCCTCAAGTGGGTATGAGGTGAGTATTAGAAACATAGTCCCTGCTTTGTTTAAAATTAATTTCAAATTTAAATTTTTTATCAAATAAAAATATTTATCATTTTTTAAAGAGAATGTGAGTTGTTCTTAACCAATAGGAAAGCAAAAGTAATAATATTTACTAATTATAGACAAAAAATAAAAGCAATCAATAAATAAATAATAAAATAAATGGGCAATAAATGCCCGCCCCTATTCGATCCCTGCCTGAACCAGTCCCATCCTATCTCACTTTAATTGAGTACGGAGATGGGACAAGGTGACAAAAATACCAAAAGGAATGAGGGTGGAAATGGTTGACCCGTTCCGTTGCCATCCTTAAATCTAATTGAATATTTGTTCTACTAGAAACAGTACTTGGACTCTCGTCCATTTTATTATTTGTCACGATACTGTCAATTTAAAGGATTTGAGCACAACAACTGACATATGTATTGTTCGTATGATTTCTTCTTCCAACGTTTGAATATAGTAGTTTTAACATAACCCATTTATCCGTTTAGTTATATTCAAATTTTATGGACAAAGAATAGTATCATTCAATAAATTGAAAGTAAGTAGGATTGATTAAGGTTATGGTTGACATTCATTTGTTTATATATTCCAATAAACTAAAAGTAGGTACATAATGATTTGATCTCCACCTTTAACATATTTGGACAATGTACTGAATAGTAACACAACCCATTTATCCGTTTTAACATATTCAAATTTTATGGACAAAGAATAGTGTCATTCAATAACTTGAAAGTAAGTAGGATTGATTAAGGCTATGGTTGACATTCATTTGTTTATATATTCCAATAAACTAAAAGTAGGTACATAATGATTTGATCTCCACCTTTAACATATTTGGACAATGTACTGAATAGTAACACAATATATCCTTTTTTTTTTTAATTGACGGGGGCACCCGCAGCCGCTACCTTTTGGGTGCGCACTGGGTAAACCTTCAGGTTCACGCAATAGCCTGCAAATGACGCCAGTCAGGTAAATTGCACTAGACAAGCCCTGTGCTACAGGCTCGACCGAGAGAGTGTTGGTAGGGGAATCGAACTCATGGCCAAAGGCATCTGCGCTCACCTACTCTACTAACTCGACCATCCCATGAGAGGCTATCTTCTTCATTGTACATTGCGATGCTCATATAGAGTATTGTAAACAAAACTTGCAGTTTAGCATGTTAAATACATTCAGATTATTATAACGATCTCCAATTTAGTGTTTGGTCCTGTCCCTCCCGACCCGCAACATTTTTAAAATTTTCAGCATTTTCAAAGTATTTTTCAATAAATACAAGATGTATATATATTTTGTCCCTTCAATATTTTTCGCCTCCACATAAAGATCTTGGCTCTGCCGTTGAGTATTGTCAAGAGAGTCTATTGACCCCAAAAAATGCATGAGTCCACGTGAGGATGTGGCCGGAATTCTGTTGACACATTTTTTGGGGTCAACTGATTCAAATAATAAAAACGGAAAGTAGAGACTGGTGAAGTTACAAAGAAAGAAAAAAAAGGGTCTAAAGCTTGTTTGGGATAAAATTTGGATTTTTTACGCAACCCAGCCGTTTTTGCCTTGTTTAAATCAGGTTTAAAAATGGTCGAGCAGGTTTCTGGTTAAAGCGTTAAAAAACCACAGGGCATAAGAAGGGGTTAGGATTTAAATAGAGATGGAATATTAGCAAAGGAATATAGTGTTTATATATGTAAAGAACTTTCTTTGTTTGGAGTCCTTTTAGAATACGAAAGTTTCTTTAATCGCACCATGTCAATGTGCCTTCTACTTCCTTCTTTTCCTTGCAAACTGCTTTAATTCTGTCTTTACTTATTTGATCACGAATTCGGTTTAATTTCATGGCGTTTCTGCTCGTAGACAATTTACCACACAACAATTGCAGATTTCGAACTGCGATTAAGGCCTTGGTGCTTCTGCTTATATTAGCCGGCCTTATTTCGACTCTGCTAATGGTAAAAGGCTTCTTGATACCTTATTCGTGCGAAATAGTCCTCTCGAGTCTAGTGGGACTTTGGAAGTCTTGCAAATGCTTCTTGTCTTCTCCTCTTTACGTATGTATAATCATCAACTTCATGGTTTTGTTGATAGCAGCTTCTTCCAGTCTACAACGACACGAAACTGATAATCATGATGGTATTGTTGATGTTGACGAGGATATGAATATCGATAAATCTCCCTTTGTATCACCACTAGCTCCACAGCAGCCACCATCGCCACCTCCTCAGATTAAGAACCAAAACCAGCCACGAGATGTGACTGAAGTAGAAGCGTCAAAACCAAGAACAAAAGCAAAGAAGACTACATATCAAGATGATCGTAGTCCACAAATTTGGCAAGATGTTATAGATCAAATTTGTGTTGATAAAAGAGATGAGGAGTTTCCATCAGGATCATTTTCTAATGAAGCTTTAGTAGAAACATCAGAAAGAGACATGGGAGAAGAGAAAGAGGCACGATTAGAAAATAATCATGAAGAAGAAGATACTATGGACGCAACATGGAGGGCAATTACGGGTGAAGGAAAAGAGAAGGCTACAAAGAAGCAACTGAAAAAGAGTGAGACGTGGAACGTTGCACCACCGATGAGGGCAGTGGCAGTGCAAAGCCACGACTTGGAGGAATTGTTGCAATCAATTCCAGCATCATGGAAGGAGCTAAGGAAATCAGAGACATTTAACGATGCTATTTCAATAAGGAAAAGAGGTGGCTTAAGGAGAGATCCTTCAATGAGTGGGGATGAATTGAACCACCAAGCTGAGGCCTTCATCAATAAGTTCAATGAGAGTATACGGTTACAAAGGCAAGAATCTGATCAGCGATTCAAAGATATGATCAACCGAGGATTGTAGAGCTTGTTTGGCACCTATGGATAGCTACCACGAGTTCAACAAACAAGATTTTAGCTTCTCTTTGTTCATGTCAAGTACTATCTAATCCTACATACCAAACATGTTTATAACCCTCTAATACCACCCTGCATCACATAAATTTTTCCGTTCCTTTCATCAGATGACATTATCTACTTTTTTAACTACCTGTACATTGTGTATGCATTTCAATCATCAAGATTGCAGAATCTTTTTATATTAATGTACTACATATAATTGATGTTTAGAAATGCTTATTATATATTAAAATAATTTCTGAAGGTATTGATATTCTTGGCTCCCTTTACTATTCAAGTAGGTACTCTATGAGCTAAGCATCTTTATAACTGCCCACCAAGCAACGGATTTTCATTTGGAAGAACGACGTTTCAACAAAAGCATCCATGGTCATTAGAGTAGAAGATAGTCGAATTTTTTCTGGGATGGTTTATTAGTAAGCAGAATGTCATTTTACTGGTATAGTAGTACCAAATTAGGGAGGATGCTTCCTTTTTGGCCTTTTCTCTTTGTTGTGTACTATTGGCATGTTTGGTAAGCATAGTGGACATCACTACTCTATAGCTTTATGGGACAAACTAGGGAAGAAGGTATATAATTGAACATAGTGATCTTAAAAATTTAAGCTAACCATCTTCTAGACCAAGTTATTCTGACCGAAAAATGATTTTTTGGAGATTCAAATCCCAGAATCATTCATGAATTCGACCTTGAACCACACAAGATCCCATTCCTTCCAAGAGTGAATGGCCCAATCATTGTTAGTTTTTTCTTTTGTTGCAGTCCCAAAGATCGTTTCATTTTGTAGGCTATCCTGTCAGCTTTATTTTGTTTTTATTATTCTCAATCATTAAAAACAAAGGAAGTCGCTATTTTTATCCAATATTTTTTTTTCTATCCACCTTTTTTTTTAATTATATATTACATTTTAATCTTATGAAAATTTACTAAACTAGACAAGATTAAATTCATATAAAATCTATAAAACTAAATTCATCCACTAATAATCTATATTCATTAAATGCTTTTGGACATTTTACATTACATTTAGACTTTATGTTTAACTAAAACCTTAATATTCATAAAACGACTTCTTCAACTAAAGTCAAAACAAATAATGGAAGCGACATCATTAGAACAAATACATAAGAATACTTTGATAAGATAAGGGTAGTGTTTGGGGATAAAATAAAATAACTTGATGAGATGTAAAATTAGATTGATGTGTCAATTTTTCATTGAGGGGATAGTCATGGACACGAATTTGACGATAGCATATCTATAAATTTATTTTCAAGAACATAAAGGAAACTATCGCCAAAGGTTGAATGGTAAGCAGTATTACAACACATGGGCACACGAATAATTGAAGAGTACACATAATTTTGAATTTTCATATGCATACATATATACATTCATTCAGAAACAGATATACAAAATCATTGTTTAAAGAACATTGATGTCAACAACTGGGGCATCCAGTTTATATCGATGAACGGTGTGGAAGGGACAAGAGAGAGTGAGCAAGGATAATTTAAAAAAAAAAAAAAAAAAATTAAAATCAAGCACAACCTATCACTAAGAAGGCAACAATCATTTTATAGTTGATGATTCACAAAATCCTACGTTAAATATATCTTCGAGAAGTATAAAATTAATCATTGTAATATGGATATATTTAGATTGAAATAAATATATAAAAATGGTATAGATATATATTGTTGTTTAAATGTTCATAATACATGGTGCCAGCAGTGGTTGATTTTTGGCCCAAATCTGTGGCCCAAATTGATGATTCAACAAACTGAAGGATCTAGAATTTGGAAATACGTTTCTTTGTTCAATACACCTTTAGTTGAAATGGCACTTTTGCTGGATTGTTGATATGTGTCAGATCTTGCATCATTAGATGATATAATTGGCTATGTCTCATATGAATAGATGCCGATGACTTTAGGGTTTCATTCCGAGATATTCTAAGTAGTTTTTCTCTCTCGTGCATTTCATCTTCTCTGTTTGTTCTTGATGATTCTCTATGAAATTCTGAGTGTTGTTTAAGAGAAAGATATGGGTGAAATTCTTGTGTGAGTTTGCACTGGATGAGAAGTTATTGTATATTGCGAGAGATTTGAGAACTTCGAATTCTTGTAACTGAAACTTTGAATTTTGGCTGGTACTAGTGGATTTGAGCTTAATCCTAATGGATGCTTAATGGGGGACTAAACGTTAGAAGTGGTTGCTGAACCTCCGGGACCTTTGGCAAAAAAATCCTTCGTGTTCTTTTACTTTCTGGTTATTTTTGTTTGAGTTCTTTAGTTTTGAAATGAAGAGTGACAAAGATTAAAGTAATTCTGGACCTATAGTGGTATCAGAGCTTGGAAATATCTTTTTATTTTTATTTATTTTCAAATATTTTAAGAAAACTCTGATCTACTTGGAATAGACAATGTTCGAAAGTTAACTTTTTAGGAATATTGTATAGTGGGGAAACAAGTTAGATTGCCTTTTAAGGCTGGCATACACAAGTCCCAAAATGTGCTAGAATATATACATAGCCTGTCCCTATACCTATAGTATCTGGTTATAGATATTATCTTCTTATTATATATGATTATTTAAGAAAGGCCTGAATTTTCTTACTAAAATCTAAATCTGACACCTTTACAATCTTTAAAGAGTGAAATACATTAATTAAAAATCAAAGTGGTAAGAAGATTAAGATTTTAGGAATGAAAATGGACTTGAATTCTACAACACTAATTTGACAAATATTGCAATAAACAAGGAATTTTGGATACAAAACTGTGACCTATACTGCCTAACAAGATGGAATTGCTGAGAAATTGAATAGAACCATTCTTGAAAGGACAAGATGCATGCTGATTAATTAGGCTTGCCCAAAATATTCCTGGGAGAAGCAATAAAGACTGCTTGCTATTTGATAAATAGATGTCCCCCCAGTTCTCTAAATCATAAAGTTCCTCAGTAGGTTTGATTAGGATCAATGCTTGATTACTCCTATCTCAAAACTTTTGGATGCGCAGTTTATGCACATCAAAGTGACTCTAAATTGGGTCCTAGATCACTGAACTGTATTTTCTTAAGATATGGAGAAGATGTTAAAAGCTATAGACTGTGGTTAAGGAAGTTAGAAGTTATAAAGTGATAATAAGTAGATCTGTGATTTTAATTAAGATGATTTCTCATGTCTTAGTGACATAACTAGAGAAAATATAGTAGATGATAATTTTATTATCACAGAGATTAACCCTAGTAAGCAAAATATTATTGAGCAAGCTCAATTTGTGGTGGAGTCATTTCAAACAGAACCATAGATCATTCTAGATGATGAAACTCTAGATGATAATCAAGATTTGAATCTTGAACATGATCTGTAGGATTATTAGCTTACCAGGGATAGAGAAACAAGGCAAATAAGACTTCTTTCCAAATTTCAATGTGCAGATTATGTATCTGCCTAATTTGAATCTGATCCCTCTGACATAAAACTACTTTCTTATGAAGAAGCTATTTCTTGTAAGTAAAATTCTAAATGGATTGCAACTATGAAAGATAAAATGAACTCCTTACACAAAAATGAAATCTAGAATTATGTTGAAAAACCTAAAGACTGCAAATTGATTGATCGTAAATGGGGTTACAAGATCAAAAGGGATGAGTTAAAATCAAATGATAAGAGACAGAAGGCATGACTTGTAGCAAAAGGTTTTACTCGAAGAGAATGAATAGACTATACTGAAATACACCTCAATTAGAGTATTGCTTGCCTTTGTAATTCAATTTGACTTAGAGTTAGAACCACTTGATGTGAAGACTGCCTTCATGTATGGTTCTTTAGATGAAACCATATGTATGACTCAATCAAAAGGATTTGAGGTAAAGAAGAAAGAAGACTAAGTGTTTCTTCTGAATAAATCATCATATTGCTTGAAACAGGCCCCAAGCTATGATATAAGAGATTTGATTCTTTTATAAAGGGCCTGAAGTTCAAGAAAACTGAATATGATCCCTATTTTTATTTTAAGAATAATGGAGAATCTGAATTCTTTTATCTCTTTTATAAGTTGATGATATGTACTAACTAGCCATAATTGTAAAAAAGAAAAGTTGAAATCTAAGTTTGAAATGAAAGATTTAGGACGTGTTAGAAAGATTTTAGCATGGAAATAATTAATGGGAAACTATTTTTAATGAAAAAAAATCTTATATTGAAAAATTGGTCAAAGGATTTTTCCTTCATGATGCTAAGCTTGTTAGTATGCCTTTGTCTAGTTGTGTGAAGTTATCTGTTGATCGATCACCTAAAACTGAAGATGAACTTAAAAGCATGCTGAATATGCCATACGCTAGTGCTATTGGATTTGTCATATATGTAATGGTGTGCTCTAGACCTGGTATAGCCTATGCTACAAGTGTATTAAGTAGATTCATGAGTAATCCAAGTGAATTTTATTGGGCATGTATGAAGAACTTGATTAAATATTTGAAAGGTTCATGTTAGTTAGGACTTATGTTTAACACTGATAAAGATGGTCTTAAATTGAGAGGATATGTTGACTCTGATTTTGCTGGAAACATGGATAATAGAAAATCCACAACAACATGCTTTTATGTGATAAATATTACATGCATTAGCTGAAAATTCCAATTTCAAAAATTGGTTGCCTTGTCTTCAATGGAGGTTGAATATGCTGCTGCTACTAAGTCAACAAAGGAAGGTCCATGGTTGAAGGGCTCACTAAATGAATTAGGTCATGTGGAAAATCAGGTGGAGCTATGTTCAGACAATCAAAGTGCCATTTTCTTAAGTAAAAATCCAATTTTTCATGATAGATTGAAGCATATAGATGTTAAATTCCACTTTATTAGAGATATAGTTGACAGGGCTAATATTAAGTTGATCAAAATTCTCCCTAAGGCAAATGCTTCTAATGTAGGTACAA